AATTGATCTTTAATAAGATTTAAATATTTTTAATAATATTTAGAAGCTTATAGATTTATAAAAACGGGTATCTATTTTTTTTTATTATAGAGTTAAGGGCCTAATAATTAATATATATACGCTATTTCCTATATAGCTTTTTTATAAATACTACTAGGAAATCCTAGATATTACTCGACTATTAGATTAAGTCTTTTTAAAGGAGTTCTTTAATCTATTTAGCTTATTTATTAAGCTTCTCTATAAAAAGATTATAGATATTAATATTAATAAGTTAATTTATACTAATATAGATTTTATAAGCTATATTATATTCTAATAAAAAGACTATAAATAGTTCTATCTAGAATAATCCTTTATATTTCGTTAAGATTTATTAAATTCTAGGATTATTATAAATTAGTAGCTCCGATTTAGATCCTTTAGATTCTTTATTTATATAATAGACTATAAAAAGATATCTTTTATAATTTTTCTTTTAAAAAAACTAATATATTTATTAGATAAATACTAAATTAATATAGATCTTTTTAGCGTAAATTATTTAATTATTATTTATAGAATAAATATTATAGATCCGGTAATTATAATTTATAAAGATTATAATTAAGATTTATTAATTAATATATAGATTCTCGATCTTAAGGAAATCCCGTCCTAGAATAATATTATATTCTATAAAGAGTATTTAGGTTTTAATCCGTCCTACTTAATTATTAATCTTAGTTAGAAAGATTATAAATCTTTTAATAATTAGTTATTTATTATTTATAATAGTAACTATTAAAGATATCTTAAATTTCCGGATCTAAATCTATATATTAAGTTTCTAAAATATTTAAGATAAGATAAATATATTACTAGCTCTACTATTAAAGAGTATATAGATAAAAGTAGTCTATTAATTTTTTATTTTAATCTTATTTTAATAAAATATAAAAAAGTTATTAAATATATTAAGTAAAGCTAAAAAAGATAGTAAGATTCTCTATTATTTAAAGAGCTCTAGCTAAGCCTATCTAAATATATTTATATAATAATTAAGATCGAGAATATTATTTATATTAAATTATAATAATTTAAAAGCTTTATTAAAGCGGTTAATAAGGGCTTTTATATTATATAGTTATACTAGTTTTTTATAAACTATTTAGAGATAACTTTTTACTTTTATTTAATCTCTTCTATCTTTATTTAATAGTAATTATAAGCTAGATAATCCTTTTTTTTATAATTATAGTATTTTTAGATCTCTTTTAAACTTATAGCTAGCTAAATAAATAAATCTATAGCTATAAAAATCTTACTATTAATATCTATTATATTAAAATAATAAAAAGTAATCTTATATTAATAAGTAATAGCTTATTCTTATTTATATTAGATAAATAAAGCGATAATATCTTAGAATTTTTTAGATTAATCTTATTCTTTTATTTATTTAATTTAGTAGAAAGATTTTATTCTAATTATAAATTATTAGATAAATATTAAATCTAAAATATTCTAATCTAGATTAAAGATAATCTATTAAAAATTAAAAATATATTCTTAGATTAATTAGTTTTTTTATTTAGTCGATTTATATTATTTATATAATTTTTTAATAAATAGGTACTTTATAAATTCTTATTAAAGCTATACTTTAAAATCTAGCTATATTTTAAAGATTTTAAGTTAGAGAAAGATATAGTATTTCTTATATTATTCTAATTATTATTTTATAAATCTTACTAGCTTTTTAGACGTATATAAGATCTTTATTTAATTAAAAAAGTTATATCTAATAAATTTAGATAATTCCTAAAAATACTAGTTATAGTTATATATCTATTTATATATAATATTATTAAAGATTATCTTATTAAAATTATTAATTATCCTAAGATTATTTAAAAATCTTTTTTAAGTCTCTTTATTTATATCTATAATATTCTTAAATATTAAAATTTAGGCTTATATAAAAATATTTAGAGCTATCCCGCCTTCTTCTTAAAAAAAGAGAGGTTTTTAAAGGACCTTCCTAATAATATTAAGAGCTATTATAATAGCGTTAAAAGATATAATAAACTAGGCTATCTTAACTTAGACTATATTAATAGCTTTAATAGCTATTATAAGCTACGCCGCTTTAGTTTATCTCTATTAGAATATCCTAATTTTTTATATAGCCTATATAATAATAGGATTAATATATCTTTAATTAATTATAATATATAATTCGATAAATATATCTTATTTTTTTTTAATTAAGATATTAAAAGCTTTATTTATCTTTAAACTAAGCTAAAAGTAGACTTAAGTCTTAAGTATTTATTAAAGAATATTTTTAGCTATTTTAATTAGATTTAAATAATTCTATCTTAAAAAAAAAGTAATTTTTCTAAATCTATTTTTCTTTTTATTAGATTAGGAGGCTATTATCTTCTTATAATAGCGCCTAAATATAGATCTTTTTCCGCTAAATATAATATATATAGTATTATTATAATTATTTTCTACTCTTTATTAGTCTATAAGACCGTTAGGATTTACTTCCCCTCTTTATCTAAAGATTTTTAGGACCTTTTTTTCTTCTCTTTTTCTAGGGTAGAAGCTATTCCTCTATTTCAGATAATAAAATAGTTAAAATATTTCTTATAATATCTTTATATTTAGCCTAGTAGGTCCGCTAGATTATTATCGGGATAATATAAGAGGATATTAGTATCTCTTAGATCCGATTAGATCTTCTAGAGATACTATCTTATACCTTCTTAGGCTACTATAGGAGGTAGCTTATACCGATATATTACTAGATAAGATTCGTAAAGTATTATATAGTTTCTATTATATTAGGAATACTAATATCTAAATACCCTACCGGTACGGGTGCCTATAGTACCCGAAAGTATAGGTTCGGGCCTTAGTATATCTTATACGGACATATACGGACATATATAAGGGCTAATGATACAAATCTAGTTATATAAGTGGCCTCTAGGATCACACTTTAGCTTTCTCTTTTACTTTCTTACTTAGCTTTTCTATATTAGCGGTCAATTTCTTAGTAATAGCTAGATCTAGTTTCTAGTTATTCAGCCTCGTTAATTTAATAAAGTAGGGGTATATAGCGAAGAAGTACTTTTCTCCGTATATATACTATAGCTATCTCTTTAAAGTCTTATTCGACGAAGAGGTTATCTAATTAGTAGAGGAAGTAGCTAGTTTAGCTTCCTACTTACTATTAAGTATTATAAAGGCTTCCTATAGGGCTTTACTCTTAGGTTTCTTCCTATTAAAGAGTACTCGCTCGGAGCGGTAAGCGTTAATAACGCTTATAAAAATAGTCTATTATTTTATTATAAATATCTTAATATATTATTAGTAATAGAACTATAGTTTATAAGATATTAACGCTTATAGAAAGTTATAAATAGCGTTTTCTTCGGACTTAGTAAAGTCTACCTTCGCTACTTTATACTTTATATAAAGGTTTTCGACTTTTAATAACTATATATTAATACTAATATCCTTAATTAGGGTAAGAAGTAGCTTATTCTATTATCTTCTAATAAGTTATATTTATATCCTATTAATAAAAAAGAAGCGTTTTTAAAGTATTCGAAGAAGCTCTTTTATATCCTTTATATCGATTACTAAGCTTTATAACTCTAGGAAAAAATAGTATTTTATTCTTTTAGAGGCTTTATTAAATAATATTTAAATAATTTAGTAATCTAATAAATCTTATTTATAATTATAGCGGTCGGTATTATAATCTATAAGTATTTTATTAAATAGACGACTACTTATAGAATCTTTAATATACTTCTCGTTAGTTTTAAGTAGTTATTTAGATTTTATTAAAAAAGAAATCTAGCTTTTCTTTAAAGTTAATAAATCTAGATATTACTATATTTCTAGGCTCTATTTAGAATTCTCTATATCTAAGAACTAGATTCGCTACTAAAATAAGGATCTAAGGATTATCTTTCCTTTATAAATACCGCGGTTAGTACCTAAAAAAGTAAGATTATTATAAAGAAGTAATATCTTAGCGTTATTATACTTATTCTTTATATTATTCGGAGGTAAGGAAGAGGTAGAAAGTAGATTAGATTATACTTCGTCTAGTATATTAATCTATTAACTTCTTATATACTTCTTACTTAGGGATATTAGGGGTTATTAGAGGCTTAGAATAAGCGACTAAGTAGTAATCTTATAAAGAAGAGTTACTAGCTAACCGGGCTTATAACTATCGAACGAAGGAATAGAGCAAGTGACTTAATACCAAGTTCTTACTATATAGAGCAAGTGGTAAAATGAGTATAATTCTTAAGAAGTGCAAAGTCTTCTCTCTATATATCCCTAAGTGCTTACTAACAAGCAAGAAGTGGGTCCTGCTTATATACAAAGAGAAAATCTGGTAATGACGGGACGGGCAAGGAGTCATTCTGGTCGACAGTATATAAGATAAGAATACCGGGCGAGCCCCCCTCTTACCCTCCCTCTTTTCCTTCTATCTATCGCTCTCTTTTTCCTATCTTTTTCCCCTCGTTTTCTTTACCTCTTTCTTTTATTTCTATTTAAAGCGCCTATAGGCGTAGAATATACGGGAGTTCCTCCCTACCCCCGCGAATAGTAGGTATACCGACGCCTAGCAACCGAGTCCTTACTTATTATCAATACAGTAGGTTTTAACCCGATACTAACACTTCTATATCTATCTCAACCGGCGGAGAAGGACGGGGCAGCAACTAGAGGACCCTTAGCCTTATTATTATAGAGTTGCTTTCTATAGGCGCATATTTACTATACATAACTCCATAGCTTAGCACGTCCCAATACCCCTAGGGAGGTAGTAGAGGAACGGGCTACGCCCGTTCTCTTATGGACGTTAATTAGAACAACAACAACAACAACATTGCGTGACCTCCGAAATTGAGCGAACATTTTTCTTTGTTCATGCACTCGGCCCCAAGTACGAGAGCTTCCGCGATCATATCTTCCGACAAATGGACCTTGTCAACGAAAGAGATGCAAATGGGAGTATTATCAAAGCAGCACCTACATTTGACTATATCGAGAATAAGGCCATTGAGGAAGAGCATAGAAAAGGGCAATTGGGCAAACAAGCAATGGAGTCGCAAGCACTTCCTGCTCTTGCCCTAGTTCGTGGGCCAGGTGACAAGAAGCTCATACCGTCGTCGGACGGAACTACTTGTCGGATAGAGATTGATAACGTCCCATATTGCTCCTTCTGCCGAAAACCTTATCACATCGACGCCGAATGTTTCACCAAGAACCCGAGACTGAAGGTCCAAAAGAAGGACGGAGACGGACCGAAGCCAAGACCAGGCAGAATGCACATAGGCGCACGCAGACAGTCGAAGAGGCGGACCTTGACGGACGACGAGGACGACGATGGGAGTGGCCCAAAAGACCCGAAGAAACCAACCTTCGTGGCGACGAAAGTCTCCGGAAAAGATGTCAACGAAGCATTTGGAAACGATATCGAGGGCAATCTCACCCTGTTTGACCATGTTCCCATTATGATGGCGATAAAGACCCCCTCTATCCGTGACGCGTGGATCGTGGATAGTGGATGCGCTCAACATGTTTGCAATAGCGCCTCCAGGTTTGTCCAAATGGCTAAATATCATGGGCCTTCACTGAGAGGCATTGATACCTCAACAGCTCCCTCGGGCGTGGGAACAGTAAATATCCTGTGCAATGTACGCGGCAGAAAGAAATGGCTAGTGCTTGACAACGTCCTGTATGTTCCATCTGCACATGCCAATCTCATATCGGTGCTCCAGCTGCTCCAACGAGGCGCAAAAGTCGAATTCTCAAGCCGGGATGCTATCCTTCGCAACAAGTCAAACGGAAAGAATCTGTTTACTGCCAGTGAATATCATGGAGTCTACGCACTCGATCTGTGGGCAAGTCTGACTTTCCCCTCTTACCATGTTAGCCCACAAATGTCTCTGTGGCACAGCCGGCTTGCTCATATGAGTGACGCAAACCTTCGGCGACTCAAGCAGCAAGCTCATGGCGTGCGGGACATGGAGGCACGTCATCCATGCAATCCCTGTCTGCAGGGGCGAATGATCGAAAGGTCTCACAGAAGATCAAGAGTCAGCAGGAGAGGAGAACACGCAATGGACCTCCTCCATATTGACGTCGCAGGGCCATTTGATGACGGCCTAGATGGCAGCCGTTACTGGCTAACCATCGTTGACGACTTCAGGGGCTGGATCGAGATTTTCCCGATACCGCGAAGACAATACTTCGTCATAGAATCACTGCGGTTCTTCCTCGACCACAACGAGCGTCCCGAGCGAAAATGCAAACGACTACGTCTGGACCGGATATCTGAACATATGGGAGACGAGATGAAATTCATGTTGTTCTCGCGCAATCCAAGCGGAGGTGACAGGAGTGGATCAACATCAGCAAAATGGGGTTGCCGAAAGAGCTCATAAGACAATCTATGACCGTCTTGGGCCTACGCTGGCACATGCAAGGCTGCCGTCTAAGTTTTGGCCGGAAATTGCTCGAACTGCAGCTTTCCTCTCGAATCGGTCGCCGTCATCGAAGCTCAACATGACTCCGTACCAAGCGTGGTACGGCGACAGACCTGACCTCTCAAGACTAAGAGTCATCGGATCAAAAGGAGAATACTTGATTCCGCCAAAGCAAAGAAAGAAGCTCACGGATCCACGAACAAGGCCATGTATTTTGCTGGGCTACGAGGGAAATACCAACTACCGTATCCTCCTGGGAGACGGGAGAATCGTTGGAACACCAAACGCTGAATTTCAAGAAGTCCTTACAACTCCCTCCACACAGACTTTACAAGATGTGGGAGCCAGACAAGACGGCTCACCTGAGGCAACGGCTGCTGTCGCAGGGGGGAGTGGGACGGTGGGACTAATAAACCAACCGTCGGTAGAAATACGGCAAACATCCGTGCCTGCCTCGGGGCGCCAATTGTCGATGGATCCCCCAGAGCGGGCCCTACCTAAGTCGAGAAACGATATCTCGCACACACTGCCTCGGAGTGATGATAACTCGCGAGTGCTTACCCAGCCGAGTGACGATAACTCGCAAACTCAAGCGTTGTCCCAAACGAGTGACGATGACTCGCAGCCAGCTGTTGCTGTACAGGGAGACAGGACCTTGTCGCGCACACGGAGTGAGAACACCTTCGGACCTCTATCACCTGCTTATCAGGATTCCGTCCTTGGGATTGAATCGCCACCCGGTGGCGACCAGCAACAGGGCGACGCGGTTGCTGCTCAAGGAGACATAACCTTATCGTCCATGCGGAGAGGGAACACCCTCGGACCACTATCACCTGATTATCAGGATTCTGTCCTTGGGATTGATTCACCATCCGGTGGCGACCAGCAACACCAACGAGGGCCAATTTTAGAACGGCAACAATATTCAGAGCTCCATCGGCCGGTCCATGAAGTTCAACAAGGAACATTAGATCACCACCCTGAACTAAAATTTCGGGCTTCGGAAGCCACATTGGACAATCCTGATGGGGACGAAGAGCTTGCGCTCTTGAACGTACCTAAAGAAAACGTCATTCCAACCTTCTTGGCCATGGCTGCAAAGGAGACGGAACCATTTGAACCCAAAACTCTGAGCCAAGCAAAAAACGACGCAAGCTGGGTGGATTGGGAGAAAGCCATGCTTGAGGAAGTGAATTCACTCCACCAAAATCACATGTGGGAGCTTGTGGATCCTCCCAAAGATCGGCGGGTGCTCAGCGGTAAATGGGTCTTCAAACTCAAGCGCGGGCCGCATGGCGAAATCATCCGCCACAAAAGCCGATGGGTAGTGAGAGGATTCATATAAGAAGAAGGAATTGACTATAATGAAACTTTTGCATCGGTTGTCAAGCCAATGAGCTATAAGGCTCTCTTCGCCATCGGAGCGGCCCTAGACTTGGAGATTGAACAAATGGATGTCAAAACCGTATTCTTGTACGGAGATATCGACCACGAGATCTACGTCGAACAGCCCTACTATATAACGGACGGCACGCTAAGGGTCTGCAAGCTTCGAAAGGCCCTCTATAGCTTAAAGCAGGCCCCTCGGATCTAGTACTAGACCCTAACAAACTTCCTTCGTAGCCTTAGCTTCGAGCCAATTACCGCCGATCTCGGTATCTTCGTCCGGAGCAGTATGTATATCGTAGTATACGTTAATAATATCCTAATCGTGGGTCCGAGTATCGCTGAGATCAAGAGGATTAAGCGGAGCCTAAGAAACCGGTTTTAGATAACGGACCTAGGGCTATATAGCTACTATCTCGGGGTATCTATCTAGCGAGACCGTCAAAATAGGAGACTGCTCCTAAGCCAAGATGCATACATTAACAATATTACTTATCAACTTAGAATTGACAATTGCGCCCCCGTCAGTACGCCGATCGAAACCTCACTACTTCCGGAAAATAGTCTAGACTATACCTATACTCTAGATTAAAGGACCTCTTACTAACGCATTATCGGATCACTAATATACATTATGCTTAGAACTAGGGGGGATATCGCGTATACGGTCTCTATCGCTAGTAGATCTCTCTCAAACCCTAGGCCCTAGCACATAAAACTGGCCCGTCGCATCCTACGGTACCTCAAAGGAACAAAGAACCTTAGACTCACCTACTAAGGTCAGCTTTAGACCCTAAGAGGCTTCACAAATGCGGATTAGGGAGGATGTCGCGCCACGAAACGATCTACAGCTAGCTATCTCTTCAATATTAGAAGCGGGGCAATCAGTTGGCAATCGAAACGCTAGGGCGTTGTTGCCCTTTCAACCTACGAAGCTAAGTTTCTAGGACAAACGCAAGCCACTAAAGAAGCCGTCTGGCTAAGAAGACTTCTCAATGAATTGAATGTGGATCAAGGAACAACCGCCACGATCATCTGCGGTGATAACCAGGGTGCCATCGCTCTTACTTCAAATCCACAATACCACTCCCGCACAAAACATATAGAAATCCAACGCAAATAGCAGGGAGAGATCCAAGATAGCGGAGGAGTGCAGCTTGGCTATGTCCCAACCACAGAACAGATTGCTGATGGTTTTACCAAACCTTTGACTCGGCAAAGATTTGAGTGGTTTCGAAGAGAACTCGGCATCGAGTAATCACGTCTCCATTTCACTCGAACCAGTCTAAGGTGCAGGATACCCTTTCCTTCTTTTCTTCTCAAAGGAAGTTTTTGGAAGGTTTTAATGGGACCTGTCTCAACCGCGATTGAAGTGTCACCGGCACCATCGGAGATGGTTGCCATCGAGTGGGAGTGTTGAGTATCACGGTGGTCAAAGCTTGTGTGGCGAGACTAGCGATGTACATTTAAATAGACGGGTTTCCCACTTTTGATAGTAACCCTAACAAGAATATTACAACTACCTATCTCAACGCTCACATCAACGCTCACATCCACACTAACGGTTCAACAAAAAAGCATTCCAAGACGACACTCTCATCTCTGTTTGCCTACATCTGAATGAAAGGTGCCAATGTCTATTGTAGCGAGGAAGCTATTGGGTCGCAAGCTATCAAGGGAAAGCAATGTGGAATACGTCCTTTGATAGTGAGGACGCTTCAGTTGTTAGTTTATGATTTTGACTATTAAATTGGCGAAGATCTAACTAGGGGTCCTTCTATGTATCCAATGATGACCCTTCGGAACAATGAACAGATGATGATGTTGCGCAGGGCTTTGCTCCTCCGAATACTCTTGGATCACTCGGATACTGGTCCCTAACACCACGAAGAGGTGGTGCCTGCACGTCGCTAAGGGCTTGTTAAGGCAGCAATCCCCTACGAAGCACACTTGTTTTCGCAGCACCTCCCTGCGAGGATTGTTGTTCACGCAGACCTATCCTGCGAAGCACCTTAGGATGAGATACCGGAACGGAATTTGATTTTATGGGGGATTGGAGCTTGTACCAAGTTGAATTGATCATTGGATAGGGCATACTTTGCGCGTGACGCGTAACTTTGCCTATTCCTTGTAGCCCACTGGGTTCCATCGCAATCAAATTCATTGATAGTTCGCATTCTATTCAATTTACACGGTAAAAAGACAGTATCATCCCGTATCTTGACACTAGACCTTGTTTTTATCGCGAACAAAATACACAGAAAATGAGAATTTGTTGAGAAAAAAATATTTGCATATGTACTATAACGGACGGTCCCATTTGCAGGAACTTGGGATAAATTTGCCGCAGATACCCTACTCTGGGACTATCCTTATTCACGACCAAAGCCAACACCCAAAATTTCTCCCCTCTCCTGCCTTGAGACCTCATTTTCTATCTCTTCCTCCAGAGCGTCCTCCCAACGGATAGAAGAGGCTTTCCACCCTAACCTCTCTCTTATTCTTTTTCCTTGGATCTTCAGGCTTCCTCCGAAGATAATTGTTCCAAACGGATGCAATGACGTTGCCTCGTCCGGCGTCAGGTGATCCACGCCATCATCGAGTGGGATTGATCTCATTCTCATTAGAGATTGAGCTGTTTTGGCATAAGTGGTTTTATCCGGAGTTACCCAATCAGAAGTGAGAAAGTAATATCCTTTGTCATTCCAGTGCGCCTTGGAAGAGGAGCTTGGATTGCTGGCATATCGAGTCTCAAGCTCTGCATTGGCAGCCTCGACCAGGGCGACAATTGCATCTGCTACATCCTTCACATGAACCATATCAAATCTGTTAAGACCTTGTCCGACGACGAATGCTTTTTTGCGCTGCATCATCATGTTGATGTGATACGCAGCCCCTTTCTTGACTGGACCAGATCCCACACCAACAACCGCTGGTGGGCTGATGATTGCAGTTCGAAGACCATTTTGAGCATGTGTAGCACCGAATGATACGATACGCTGCTCCGTGGCAGCATGGATTTGTGTCGCAGGCAGATCAAGTATCGCGGACAGATCGGATGTATCATCCCAAGACCTTGACGGCGGAGAACCGGGCGCGAGGGCAAGATCAAGAACAGTGGCAGCCCCTGACAAATGTATGTAGTACCTAGCGGACTCCGGTGTGGTTGAAGAAGCGATTGCGGAAAGGAGAGTATTCGTTCCGACATTATGATCGCCGTTGGCAAGCTGAAGCGTAATAGACGCCTTGGCAGCTTCTGATATAAGAACTCCAGGAGTGTCGAGGTTGCCAATAACAGTCGAAAGGGGTATTCCAGGATATGCATCATGGATTGCAGAGGCCTGCTCTTCATTGCGTACGATTGCTGTGACATCCCAGGATGGATGACTCTCCAGAAGAGATGAAAGCGTCGAGCCGCCAATATATCCAGACGCACCGATAAGGAGTATTCTTGGAGGCATAGTGATGAGCGATGCGGATCGTCAATTGGCGAAGGGAAAGGTCAGACGGAATTCAAGATAAATAATTGTTTGCGAGATATTTGCGATGCTTTTCGCCTCTTATAAGAAATTGTCGTGTACGTATAGGCTATAATACATTGTCCTCTGGTTAGCTTACATATCGCTTATAAATGAAGTTTAACAGTCCGGATTCGATTAATAATGCTCAATTATGGCGTGACAGTCACAGTTCTGTCCAGATACTGTAAGGATGACTTTCACTACAGTCTGGAACTTCATCCGGCCCCCACCCGATGGGGGCTATTCTGTTACAACCTGCCCCTGGACTGGCGAGTTACAAACTAGGCCAAAAGACCACTATATCTGAGCATTACGCTCAGATAGTCCAGGCTCCGTTATATATAGTGCGTGTCATGACATATTCGTTACTTTGGAATTATTCCAACAATTACAAAACATGCTTATAGTCGGCTGGTTGACTCAAAGATACGGGTCAGGATAAATCATACTGATAAACTTGGTTTCCTCGAAGCGTATCCTCTCGCACAACTTGACGCTTTTAAATCGGAGTCTACTTAAAAATAGCTTAGAACCCCGATCCCCCGGTGGGTGGGGTGAGTGTCTCGCGCAGCCGGCTTAGTGAATCAAGCCGGGATTTTCCTCCAGAAAACCCCTTCACAGAGAAAGAACTATGCTGACAAGCTTCGTCAATCAAAGCTTTACTTCGTACAAGATCTCGAAGTCCACCTAGCCCGTCACATCTCACAAGACACCTCACCAGACCTGCGCACGAATATGGGACATTCGACCACTCCCAAGGATACTTAGCCATAGCCCCAGGAATTACACTTATGATTCTAGGACTTAATAAAGCCGTCAGCAGGAACCTGACTTTGGTTGTTCGAGTGGAGGTACAAGACCCCAGAAGCTATGCTGGGCTTCCTGGGGGCAACCTGGCTCCTAGAAGCTGCTTGTATGTCCCCAGAAACCGCACTAAAGCCTCCGGGAGCAAGGGATCCCCCAGGGCCAAGAAGTGCGTTCCCGGGGCTGATAGATCTGTCAGCAGGAAGGTGACTGATTTCGTGAGAGTGGGAATAGAGAGTCTACTAGTTACGCACGATTTCTTGGGGCTATGTGATTCCTGGGCGGCTTATATGTTCCCAAAGTCGGCTTTTGAAGTCTTTACGGCCGCCAAGGTTGGTGGATAGTTACGCAGAGCACATCGTCAACTATTGCACGTCTTTATATCAAGCCACTCAGGATACTGCTCCAATATCGGCCACGATCGGACGTCTGGTCAGATCAGGAGATGAACATTCTCTCACCCCAATCCTGAACTTCACTTGGTGAATTGTATTAGCATCTCTGTAGTAAAAGTCTATGGCTGATAGTGAGTCGCGCCGGGTGCCTTTTTAATTAGTTTTCGCCTTAGTCGCAGTCCACGTAGAGTTTTACTGGATAAGAACGTTTCAAATTGAAGCACTATTCCTATGCCTAAGGCCGGCGGCCTCTAAAGAAGTTGTTGTGGTTCAGAGGTATGAATTGACTCATTATCTCAAAGGGAAACAGAAACATGAGGCTATATCTACAACGATGGGAGAAGTTGATTTCCCATCAACCTGGTCGTCCGTATAGACACCTCGGAGTTAATTCCGACGGTGGCGCTTGATTCCCGGTTTATATTTTCTTTAGCCCTAGAAATTTACTCTACGATCTATCACTTGACTACCCAAACTCGAGTAGGCCTTGTGTCTAAGGCGCTTAGTAAGTTCTCCCTCTTTGACTCAGTACTAAAACATACACTGTACTAACATTTATACACCAGAATATAATATGGACCAGCAAGCTATATAGTGCCAGTGGAAGATATTGTTCTCAGCCAATCCACTTTGCAAGCAGCCAGCCGACTAAAGGGACAAGACTTAGGCTGGCTAGTCTAAACATCTATGCGAAGATGTCTCTCCGCCACAGTCGACTAAGCTGATCTACGTCTCTATGCGTATTCCTAAGGCAAAAGCGCGAATACCCGCGTCGTAGGTATATGAATCTTAGCTTGACCTATCTGGAGTTCTCCTAATCCGGAAGTCGAGGCGATCTAGAACCGAGGACAGTCGACCACAATATACGCGCGTAAGGACCATAGCTCTTTATTATCTCTTTATCCCTAGTATTTACCAATAGGACATATAAGTCATAGACTAAAATACCGATCTATAAGCTAATATATAACAGTGAACCATTAATATCGCACTAGAGTGGCCCTAGGATACGGTAGCCCGTTACTGCTGTATAAAGCTATAGCATATATACTAGACCTTATCCTATCGCTCTATACCATATAGCATATCCTAGGTAAATAATATAACTCGAAGGAGCGGGCTAATAATAGGGTCGAACAACTAATTGCGAAATTCGCCGTATAGAACGTCCGTTCTTCCTAGTAAGGTAAGTGTCAGATGAAATACAGGCTATGTAGGAATGAATGTTAACCTCAAGGGATTAATATTGTAGACTCTAGAGAGAAAGAAAAGAAGAGAAGAAAAACTAGCTACTGTCTAACCATTATCCTAAATCCTATATATCGGGATCATATACAGCCCTATATAACCGTCACGTAACTCTAATACCCCCCTTTAGGACGAAGACTATTACTATATCTCTTTATCTCTACTAATAAAAACTCTCTATTTTGTTTTCTTATTTTCTACTATTTCCTATATATTATAAACCTATATCTACCTATAAAATTTAATATATAGATTAATTAAGACCTAGTATCTAGATAAACTTTATATATACTTTTTTATTAAGCGCTTTTATAAACCTATCGGCGACGTTACTCTTCGTCTTAACGCGTTATAAATCGATCTTCTTCTAAAAAATAGCGTCCTTAATAAAAAACTATTTTATATTAAGCTAACGTATATTATTCTTATACGACTTTTTATCTATTAGTAACTATATATTAATATTATCTATTAAAATAATAATTAGATTATTTATCTTAAAAAGATTAAACGCTTTAGTAATCTTTAAAATCTATTAAGTATTTTTAATAGATCGATCTAAAGTATACTATTCTATAGCTATTAATAATAGAGTTATAATACTTTATTTCTTTAAGTACTAAATAATAAATATATTACTAAAAAACTAAATAATACTTTTTATTAATTTTAAATTATATTAATTACTATATAAAATATTAGTATATATAAAGAATAAGATATCGTCTATCCTTTTTAATATTATACTAAAATATATTATATTATTAAGATACTTGTCTATAGTTCCAAAATTACTAGTTATACAATATACGTAGCCTAAGCGAGATCATGTGCATTGGACCCATATATCTCGCAGGCTATTGATATGTCTGCGTAGGTCCCCGAAGACCTCCGAAGGTCCACCTTGAAGGTGCCATCTCGGGTCTAGGCGGGTTCTGCACCTTACTTTGTATGGTGCAGGACGTGACATATTTCTATGGGAGAAATTAGGTTTTAACGATTTTTGTATGGCCGATCAATTCAGACAAGGAAAAAGTATCATTATAACCGGGTTATCGTTATACTATCGTTATAACGGGTTTTTACTGTAGTAGACTATGTAGTTAGTAGTTAGATCAGACATCTAGTTAACAATATCTCCCGTGTGCGAAGGATTGACATGTGAAGGGGACCAAGCGCCCCGCACTTTGCCCAAGCATTTTCTTCAGCTCTCGAACTCAGACAGCTCCCAACCTCAAGGTCTACAATCTAACATCCCAGGAAGATTCCAAGTCCAAATAAATACATTCATTCAAGGATGAAAATTCGTTTCTAATTCATGATTATCTATGAAGTGCGTCACAGGTCGCTTTTGATCAAACAGGAAACAGATGGGGAAAAACACGCCAACTCCAAGCAACCCACAAATGCAAAAAAAAAGAGATGTCATCAAGTTCAGTTTAAGCTGCATCTGCAGTGGGGATCGGCTCGGGCATCTTAGTAACCTGCTGACCGGCCCGGATAATCCGCTGGCCTGTCTCATCACGCACATACTCGGAGTTCTCCTTCTGAGCACGCTTCCAGATCTCAACCTCACCACCGCCACGGATGACTCCGACACGCATGGTGGAAAGCAAGTTGTGAGCACCGTTGGAGTGGTAGTAAACACCACCGTTGAACATGGCCGTCGCATCCTTGCCAAGGCCAGACTTGATCATCGCCTTGCCACCAGGGTGGTCCTTGATGAAGTCGGTCACGTCGTGAACAACACCGGCAATGGAGATTAGGCCACGGCCATTCTTGGTCTGCTCGACATAGTCATCCCACTCCATAACGGGAAGCTGGTCGAGGGGAGTACCCCAGTCGAGCTTGGCGCGCTTCTGGTCGATCTTCTTCTGCAGCTGCTGGACGCGGCCCTTCTCAATCTCATTGGAGCGGAACTGCTTCAAGTCGTAGGCGAGGCCGAGCTGCTTGCAGGTCCAGATGGTCCACTTGGTGGGGTCGTACTGGTGCCACTCAATGGCGTTACGGTAGTCGGAGGGGAACTCGTGGTGGAAGTTGTGGTATCCCTCACCGAGGGTGACCAGGGCGGTGATGATGTGATCACGGGGAGAGTTGCGGTCATCGAAGGGCTGATCACCGAGCCAGTGGGCCAGAGAGTTGACGCAGAAGGTAGCCTGTTGCACGAAGAAGATGCGCAGAATACCGGCGTACACAAATCCACCGTACCAGTCACCCCAGCCGAGACCAGAGACCAGCATAGGGACGGCGAGGCCCATAGTGAGTACGACCTTGATGTAGTTGCGGTGCTGCCAGACAACAACGGGGTCTTCGTTCAGATCGGTGATGTCAGTGCGACCAATTCGCTTGGGGTTCTGCTTCATGACCATCCATCCCAGGTGTGAGTACAGCAAACCCTTACGAACTGAGTAAGGGTCCTTGTCGGTGTCGGTGTAACGGTGGTGAGCACGGTGGTCACGAGCCCACCAGCGGATGGAGCCCTCGACAGCACCGCCGCCGACCAAAGCGAGCCAGATACGCAGAGGCAAAGTGGCGGAATAAGAACAGTGGGCCCAGAGGCGATGGTATCCTGAAAATGGAGTCAGCTCGTGTTCTTGGGTGTTCAGTTCTCAATTCGGAATCACTTACCAGCTGTGATTCCCAGTCCAGTGAAGAAGTAGTAGATGACTGCCCAGATGGCGGTCTTCAGCTGCAGGGGCACCCAGAAAGCCTGGATACAACCCGCGAGGGGAATTCCAATGATGAAGGTGACGTTGAGCCAGTTGACGTGCTTGTACCAGTTCTGGCGAGTCATCTGAGTATCGGCAATGTGTACCTTCTTGGTGTCAGCCGCCCGAGGGCGTGAAGCATCCGGCTTGGACGACATGATGGGTGTGTTGAAGGTTGGAAGTTCAATCTAGGAGGACCAAAGGGTTTTTTTTATACTTGGGCCCACTTGCGACCAACGTTGGGGAGCCGGGGCACACTGCCGGGGCACTGATCGCCAACGTATATGGGGAAGATAGGCTAAAAGACGAATCAAATGAAAGCAAAGATTGAACGTCACAAGATCCCGAGGCGAAAAAAGAGACAGAAGAAGAAAATAATTGCCTTATAAGCTTACGCTGGTAGACTTTTGCGCTTCCCTTTTGATCGGGAGTGGCGTGCCTCATCGCTTTCCGGCGAATGTTGGGTCCAGCCAGCCCCGCCCCAACGCTTTGGTGCCTCAGGCATGAAGTAGCCAACCAGCGAATCAGCGATCGATGGCAAATATGTTTATGTCAGCATCTTTCCCAGCAGAGGAGCCATCTAGTTATGGCTGGCCGGCTTTCGCGGAGTGGATGTTACTTCCAAGGGTTATATTTTGAACCTCGGGATTTCTAGGGATAGATCTGTGAGGTCCAATCATCTTTCAAGAGGAGATCAGCCTTCCTCAGCGTTCCTTACTCCGTACAGGTTACATTTCCAAATACGGGTTTCCCGGGCCCCCCGGCGCCCCTACACCGAAATGTGTCAAGTAACGTACTTGACCAGGATGTTATCGGCTCCTGAATCCGATGGTTTTCTATCTCTGGACGGTTTATGTACAAAAGAATTGCAATTCCTATTTCTGGCATCTTTCACCTTACAGACGATGTAAAAATCCAGCTATGATTTAGGTCATTCGGAAAGTGAAGGGCATGTCCAACCGCACGGAGGAGGTGATGACACTTTCGAGACCGAGACATAGTCCAAATGCACATTGCTGACTGACCTTGCCGTGGCCACGACTTCTTCAAGGACCTTGGACATACGGCCTCGTTGATAGGGGATTGGAAGCCCGGAAATGGGTGTCTTCTTGAGTTCCCTTGATCGAAAGTTTCTGGCGGAGAGCCTCCATGTTGGATGGTTTCGCTAACTCTAAGAATTCCAGCAGATCAAATGCCACTCTTTCGTCCGATTCGCCGCTATCTTCCCTCGGGACCTGGTTGTTCGCCGCCGCTTTTTCTCGTTTCGAAGGAGGCAAAAATCCTCACAATAAACTGGACATCTTGATCAACCTCCCGATTCAAGAACTCCACAAGATATTGATATTCTGAGTCGTCAGTGGAACCGGCCAATAAATAACAATGGACCAAGCCATACAGGAAGATCAGCCACACAGAAACCATGCTTTCGGGGACCTGTGTGCTTGATTCTACCGTTTGGGTGTGATGCTGAATGATATGGCTGGCCATCTCGAGAAAATGCGATGACACGTAGTATACGTCGTTATTATGACCGCTCGGCCAAAAGACCATTATATCAGAGCTCTCGCTCTGATATGCCCAGGATCAATATATATAGTAGCGCACATGGTTTATCCGTGACATCACAACATTGGAACACTGCAAGATGGAGCCGAATTTCAAAAGAGCTTAGTTCACTCAAATTTCTCAAATTTCTTCTTTCTATAACGTAGTACAAAAGATCTAGTGCATTCAGATACAACAAAACACTACTTCCCCCAACTCGAAAGGATTCAAATACTTCGCCCTAAGTAACGGAGCCAAAGTACATTACTCCACTTACCCTACATGATGTGTGGATGCTACTCGACATCATGCATCCCTGCTATCGTTATATCACACAGGTGCATGAGGCTGACTGGTGTTAGCGACTAATGAGCGCTTTATAACAAACCAGCAGCAACTACAGTCCGGTCGGTAATAAGTTCTATAAAATGGAACAAGATATGTTGTAGTGCTTATGCAGAATTAAATAGAGCTCTATGTTAGATAAGCGCGGTCTCGTCTAGTTAAATACTCGTATCCTCGAGTGTCTATCTGATGCAAAATTAGATAGAATTGGCTAAGAAAATTGGCAATAGCGGTATGTACCCTTATTCCCAGACGATCATGGCTTCCCTGGCAAGATTTTGACAAATTACTTCGGGGATCACCGAAGGTTATGTAGGCTTTGAGAACCTGCAGAGTAAGAATCGTAAGAGTCATTTTAACATAGGCCCTGCTTAATCGAGGCCCTAGTTTACAAGGCCAAACCGTACAAAACTAATGGGTTGAAGAAGGAACAGAACAACACTTGCAAGGAACTTTAATTTGTTTGCAATACAACATCTACTATTTGACTTAACACGAGACCAGTATATTAGGGGATTAGAAATATATATCTTAGACGGTTCCGAAGGTGTAGGTGGCTAGGTTCACGGCAGGGGGCGTCTCGGGAGAGTAGATCACATTGGATCGCTGGCCCCATTGAGGATTGTTGACAGAATCAATCCAGCCCTCGGGTTCAATCGCCAGGCAACCATATTTCTCAACAAATCTAGCAGCTTCCTCATTTTCCGAGTTGCGCTCGACCTGAGAAGGCTTCACAGGGATTGTTCCATCCATGTTCAGACAAGTGAAAAACTGCAAAGCAGGCTGGTTCGTGGCAACTTCCATGCTAATTCCCGTGGTGCCGGAGTGCAATCGGAGAGCAGGAACAAGTGAATCGTGGGCCGAGGACGTTGGGTCGCGGTCAACAATGAAGCAATTGTCATATCCCACGTCACTGCCAACAAGACCTTGGGTATATTCGATGTCACGGCCGATTATTTTACCGGTAGTAAAGTCCATGGATTGGTGATCGGTATCATCAACGGTAGATATGGCGCCGTTGGGGACTTGAAGACTGTCCGTGGCGATGAATCGTTCGGAGAGAGGTAGTTGCAGCGATGTATCATTGAGCACAGTCGGCTCCTTAAACCCATTCAGGTTCCAGTAGATATGATTGGAGAGCATGATCGGAGTGGAGTGAGTGAGAGCCTGCGAAACCAACTTGGTCATCAGCCGGGGACGGCCCTCCGGGTTCCCTGCTGTGACCTCGGTGTCGACACTATATGTAGCCTGCGTAATGACATCGCCTGGGAAGCCTTGGAATGCGGAGTCGTAGAGCTGGAAGGTAACGGAGGAAGGTGTGGATGTCAACACAGTCCAGTTCCGCTGATCATAGCCAATGTCTCCACCATGCAGCGTATACAAGCCTTTTTGATTCTTGGGAATGTGGTACTCAGTTCCATCTAGGGAGAAAGTGCCATTCTTGATACGGTTGGCAATCCGACCAAGGACAGCGCCGAAATAGGTATGACTGGTCTGGGTGTCTTCCAGATACTGACGTGGATCGTCGTAGCCGACCACAATGTCCTGCATATCGCTATTCCTATCTGGGACGACCAGTGAGGTCAACCGCGCCCCATATGGAATGAACTTGGCCGTGATATTGTCGGCGGATATTGTGAAGACCTTAAAGGGATCCACAGAGGATGCAGTGGGATATGACTGACTGAGAGCGACCGGAACCAAAAGACATGTTGCAATGCACTGCTTAAGGTACATTGTTGCGATATTTGATAAAAGAATGTTCAACGGGAATGGCACATGTAAACGAAGGTAAATGGACGAAAGGATTTAGCACGAAACGCGAAGGAACTCCCTTTTAATGCGTTTTAAATCAAGTAAATCTACTGACCCACCTTCTTGCGGTGTACAATATAATTAGTTATACAGAGTACAACATAAGAAAACCGCTCTCGGCATATCGGAAACGGAAGAGAAAGGATCAGCTGAACACACGTTGTTGGCATCTCGAGAGATCCAAGGCCCCCCACAGAATGGCTTCATTGGTTATAGCTGAACTTTCTTCAGCTGTCAGATCAAGTCTCACCCTAAATCTCACCTTAAATTTCACCGAGATTGTACCTTTTTACTCTCCATTCCATGCGCTTGGCAGTGTCGATCAAAAGGACATTCGGGCATTCTCTGGAGGCTTTTCGGGGTTGTCAAGGCAAATACTAACCTCTTCTTAGCTAGTGCGGTACAATTTATGCAGCAATCTCACATTCTCCCCTCTTTGATGTAAAAATCGAGTTACCTAATTAGGAAGATGACATCTCTTGTATATCACCCCCTCCGGTGCTATATTCTCTATTAAGGAGCACCGCCGTGGCATATAATTATGTACAGCATATGACTGCTAAGAAATAGGCGATTTAATCTTGGAAATAGGTGATGCTTAACTAGTTGTTAATGTGAGCAGATCACCTTCCAAGGTTGATTATATAACTAATTAGGTTAACCTTGGAAGACGGGTCCACGGGTAATCTGTCAATGTAGATCTTTTTGAACTAGTAATTTTCACATTTTATTTCATCTGAATACTGTACTTTCCCTATTAAGCAACTCGCAGATTGGTGTAGATGGTATATGCAATACACCGCGCTAGAAAGAATTAGCCTCATTGACAGACTTCTCACGGGATAGGTACCTAGGAGAACGTGCTCAGCTTTACTCAGCAATCCAAAAGCGGCAAGAGGTGAGCACCAAAACAGAAACAGAAAAACATGAACACAATTATTCCAGAGGCGTGAAGCTTACAATTAAGCAGAGGCTTCACGGCAAAGGGCTCATAACCTCTTAGACAGAAGATATAGGTGAAACTGAAAAGTTGTCTATTGCGCTTGAGAGGAAAGGGAGAGATAGAGAGAGAACTGTCTACAAGTGGGGACTAATGACTAGGAGCAAGTAGGGAGATCAAGTGATCTCGCAACACTAGGCAATGACCAAAGAATCAGAAATTTGTGTAGGTCTTTTGAGCCACTCAAGAGCCCCCCGGCTATAAAACCTTACATGATTTACACGTAATAACATGAAAAATTAACGGAAAAAAAGCGGCTATAGAGAAATTTCTTCCACCCGTACCATTGCCCTTCACGACGTCCTCGGATCTGCTATAGACGATCAAACTGTATGTGACCGACCGCTTAGGGCAGTTTTCCTCACTAACAATAAATGCAGGGGAAATGGGACGCTTCCGACTTACAAGGGGCCTGCAGCTCCCGTTTCTGGCCTATCCCAACATACCAGGCTATTTTACTCTATATAATATTCGCTATACTATACAAAGGCGGCGGAATGCTAGGTCTAGACCTAAAACCCTGTCTATCCTCGCTTGTTTCCAGTCTCCTTGATAGGTGTTGGAGTCACGTGACGGCCATATGGGGCCGTAGGTGATCCTGACCCACAGAACTCAGGATATTGTTAGATAGTAGCTAGTTTTTCTTCTCTTCTTTTCTTTCTCTCCAGAGTCTACAATATTAATCCCTTAAGGTTAACATTCATTCCTATATAGCCTATATTCTATCTGATAGGTTATAAGCCCTTGCTCGTACGACTCCGAGTATCTTTTCGTTAAAATTTTTAACTAATCAGAGTTTTCATTTTTTATTTATAGGACGCGTTTTTCGGCCCGTTCCGTATCTCTACTTTTCGACTATCGATCCTATTATTAATATTGATTTTTATCGACGATCTTATTATAAGTTAATATTTTTATTATTCTAATTATCTAGGAAGCTTCGTTTTCCGTAGTTACCTTATCGACGCGACGGACGGTACCGCTTCGCGTATTTCTTTCGATCGAGACCGAAGATAGATACTCGACGTATAATTAAAATAACTAGTTCCTATAATAATAACGATAATAGAGGAGAAGGTTCCTTACGTTCTCTCCTTACTTCTCGCTAGTAATATAATCCTATTTCTAATAATTAGAGATAGTAATATTAATAATATAGTCTTATTAGATAAATACGTATATAAAGGACTAATCTTCCGGAAGTAAAGGAGATTAAGCTTAATAAGGGTATTAAATTAGCTCTTAATAGTAGTAATCTAGTAAGATAGAAATAATAGATTATTAATAGATTAAATATAACGTAAATCGATTAGATCGCCGACTATAATCTTCCTCGTCTTACTAAATTCGATCCTAATTATAATCTATAAAGATACTAGTCGAAGATTTCTAGTAGATAAATTAAAGATCTTCTAGATTAGAAGATTATTATAACTTTTAAAGGATATATAAATAATTTCCCGATTTACGCTAATTATATATTATATAAAATCGAGTCTATTATTCGTAGTACTAGTATTATTAATAATATAAGATAGAAAGTAATTAAATTCGATAAGATAAAGAGATTATACTTTAGTTCTACTAAAGACTATATTAATACCTACTAGACCTAATATAATTAGCTTAATATATATAAAATTAAACCTTACCTATTCGGAGCGTTATTTATAATACTTCAATAACTAAAAGATAAACTTAAATCGATAATATTTACTTATAAGACTTTAAAAAATAAGATACTAGATTCTATTATAAAAAAGGTTTTTAGCGATATATATAAGATATTAATAATTAAAGTACGCGATATTCCTACTTTATTATTATTTAACCTAAAAGCTTCTACTAATATTATATAAAATAATAATAATAATAATTAATATAGAGATAGAATAAAAGATCGAAGCTATAGTAGTAGAGGTTATAAAAGTAATTTATATAACTCTAGATTAGATAATAATAATAAGGATAATTAAAGTAATTAGAAGGAATAGTATTAAGATATAAAGAATATACTATTTAAAGATAAGTCGATTAATAAATAAGTAGAATAATAGTATAATTAATAGCTATAATATATAAATAATTTAGAATATACCTATTATAAATATATTAGATATCCTACTAAGATATATTTCTACCTAATAGAGGATTTACTTATAAAAAGATAGAAGCCGTATAGTAATACTTAGTACTATATAATTATATATAAAGAGAAAGGTAAGACTAGTATTACTTATACTAATATAGCTCGTTCTTTAGAAGATAATTAGATAATTAATAATAGTACTTCTAAAATAATTACTAGATATTATAAAAACTTCTATAAATACTTAATTTATAAGCCTAGTAAGGAGCTATATAGCTATATAAATACTAATAATAAGATTTAATTAGTAATTAATTATAGTAAGACGCCGATTTAAATTAAGAATTCGGAAGGTAAGATTAAAATAATTCTTATTAATACCTATTATAATATAATAACTACTAATTATCTACTTTTATCTAATACTCTTAAAGCGGATTATAATATCTATTATAATCTAATTATTTCGAAACTAGTTTATAAGAATAAAAAGGAAGTTAGATTAGTAAAATAGTTTAATAATTTATCCTAGATTAATAGCCTACTCTATTAAGAAGTAATTCTAGAGAAAATATAATAATCTTTTATTTAAATAACTTATTTCTATAAACCGAATTCTTCTAATTTAGACTCGGATTTAAATAAAAAGTTTAATCGAATTAATAAGTCTATTTTAACTTATAAAATTTATTATCAACTTAATTATATAGGAAGACTATATATTAAAGCTTCTCTTTCTAATACTATTCTTTTAGAGGAAGGAGACTAGATTAAACTTTATAATTTTAATTATAAAGCTTATTAACTTAATAAAGCTAAGAAATAGATTTTTTAGGATATATAATAATATATAAAAAAGCTAGATATAAAATTTTATATAGATATATAAACTATAAACCTACCTAGACCTTATAATAAATATTATTAAGTACTAATTATCGATAATTATACTTAATATACTAAAAGACTATATTTTTAAACTAAAGAGAAGATTATACTTTATATAATTATTTTCTATAAGAGATAGAAGATTCTTTATAGATATTACCTAGCTTTCTAATAGATTAATAAAAGAACTAAATTCTATAAGTTCTAGATATAAGTAGAGGAAGAAGATATAGTTTTTAAAATTACGCCTATCTATATACCTAAACTAAATAGCGTTATAGAGCGTATAAGTAATTATATTAACTAGATTTAATATATAATAAATATAGATATTAAGCTTTCTAAATAGCTTTAGCTTTATTAAGTAGATACTATAATTTATATTTATAATCATTTAGTTAATCCGAAGACTACGAAGATACTAATTATCTCCTAGTAAGAGGGCCTTAGTCTTAGTAAAACGAAGATTAATTTAAAATATCTTTATATATAAGATACTATCGTATTTATCTATATTCCGAGGGAGATATATATTTAATTAGAAAAATTAGCTATTTATATATTTAAAGGATATCTAGTTAGTTATAAAAATAAAAATAGTTATATTTTTAAGATATAAAATCCTACTTTAAAAAAGATTATTTATTTATAAGACGTTACTTTTCCTAATAAACTTAATCTTAACTCTTCTCGATCGGATAATAATCTAAAGAGGGGTATTTTAGCTAGAAAGCTAATATCTAAGGATCCTAATTTAAATAATAATACTAGGGTACTTTATAAAAAAGATAGTCTATATATTCTAGATTTTATAATTAAAAAAGATAAATAACTTTATAAAGATCCGAAGATTATAATTAGGCTAAAGCTAGTTCTATAGGTTTCTATTACTAATAGATAGCTAGAGGTAGTATTTTAGATTTTAAGACCTATAATTTAATAGAAATAAGCTTCTATAGATCTAGATATACTAGGAAGAGTATAGATTATACTACCTATATTAAAGCTATTAACTAGAATATAAAAGATTAAAGATTAATCTCTACTTTAATAATCGAATTTTTAAAAGTAAATTAAACCGACTTATCTTCTACCGCTAAAGAGATAGATTATTTAGTAGCTAATTTATTAGTTAGTTCTTTAGTTAATATATTAATATCTAGTTCTTTAATTATAAGTTTATAAGACAATTCGACGTTATATAGTTAATTATATAAATAGTAGACTATTACTTCCGCTAGTCCTATTATAGCCTAGAAAATAAATAGTAATATCTCCGGTTTTAGAGGCTATTTTAGAGTCTCTAGTTATTTACTAATTAATCGAGAAGAATAATAATAAAGATAATAAAGATAGTAAATATAATAATTTTATTTATTAAGGATAGTATATATAGCGAGCTACTTATAATATAGAAGTTCCTATATAATAGACTATTCCTACTTCTCTTTAGTATTTACTTAGAGTATTCCGAGAAGATACTCTATAAGAGGTTTCTCTATAGGAGATTTTTTTATAAGAGATTTTTTTATAAGAGGTTTCTCTATAGGAGATTTCTATATAAGAGGTTTATAATCTTATTATTTTAAAGAAAGAGTAGGTAATAGTTTAGCCTAGTTCTTATTAGATTTCTAAGCCTATTTTTAAACTATATATAAAGACGGTATCCGAGGTCGAATTACCTTAGGAGGTCTTAGTTAAAATAATTACCGATAATTCTATTACCGAGATAGCTTCTATTTTATTAGAATACTTTATTCTCTAATAGTCGAGCCGGACGAGACGATCGCTAGAACGATATAATTTTCCTATAGAACTTACCGAGATTATATCGATTCTAAAAATAAAACCGAAATAAATAAAATAATTAAAGCGAATTATTATAAAGCCGGACGTTTTATAGGGTAATAATAGTACTAATAAAGAATTAGATAATAATAGTAATTAAGATAAAGGGAGATTTATAAAGTTAAGAGTTATTATAAAATAAAGTACTCCTTTTATTTATAATAGTAAGTCTTTATATATTAAAGACGTTATTATTCCTTAGTCTTATAATAAGATAATAAATTCTCGATTTTTAGACCGCTAATAAGTAGTAATAGAAGATTAATTTAATAATATTTATACGAAAAGGATTTTTAATATCGTTTATAAACTACCGGGGGTAATATCTTTATTAAGTTAATAAGTTTTTAATCTTAAAGTAATAAAGGATAATCTTATTTATAGTTTTAAAACGCGTTAGGTAGTTTATAAGAACTACTAGTAGAAGAAGGAGGATTTAATCTTCTATACTCTAATTATTTAGAATATTCTTATAAAGATTATCTTTATACTTATTATATAAAAAGATTATAAATAGTATTAGTTTAACGTAATAGCTATATATCTTAATACTTCTTATAAAGATTAAGAGATAATTTATATTATTTAACTAGTAGATTTTAAATACTCCGAACCTAATATTAGAAGTAAAGATTAGATTTATTAATTATAATAGATATTATTTAGCCTTTATAATTTAGTAGCTCTATAAAATAAGGAACTTAATAGAAGATTAATTAAGATTAGATTTTATACTTTTAATAATAATCTATATATCTATATTAAGATATATAATAGTTTAATATAATTTCTTTTTATTTATATTAATAATTTTATTAATATAGCTCCGACTAATAGAGAGGTTAAGATAATTCTTTAGTAGATAAAGAGTTAGTTTAAGATTAAAAATATAAGAGAACTATCCCGTTTTCTTAATAATACTATTATCCGGAATTATAATAAAAGAATAATTTAGATATTATAATAAATATATTATCTAAAAGTACTTTATTTAGTAAAAATATAGATATATTCTCTAATTTTAATTTTGTTTTCTTTAAATTATAAATAGGATAATAGTAATAAGAATCCTAATACTCTTCTAGATTAAAAAAAATATATTTTATTTAGATTTTTAGTCGGTAGACTTAACTAGCTAGTAATTAAAACTAAGCCTAATATTAAATTTAGTATTATAAAATTATAATATCGTTCTATTTCTCTAACTACTAATAATTTATAGGTAGTCTATATTATCTATAAGTATCTTAATAATATAATATACTTTAGTATAACGCTAAAAAGGGGTAGACGATACCTCGTTCTTTATATATACCGATATTTTATATAATAATTAGTATAATTTAAAATTAATAAAGAGTACTATTTAGTTTTTTAGTAGCGTATTTATTATTTAGTACTTAAAAAAATAGAATATTATAACTCTATTATCGATAGCTACGGAATAATATACTCTAGATTAACCTACTAAAGATACTTAGTAGATTTTAAAGATTACTAAAATACTTAATCTTCCTAAGGTAGGTAATCTAATTATTATTTTAATAGATAATATTAATACTTAGTTACTAATAAGTAAGAAATTGTATAAGAATAGTATATATTAGCTTAATATAAAGTAGTTTTTTATTAAGGACGCTATTTTCTAGAAGAAGATCGATTTATAGCGCGTTAAGACGAAAAGTAACGTCGCCGACGGGTTTATAAAAGCGCTTAATAAAGAAGTATATATAAAGTTTATCTAGATACTAGGTCTTAATTAATCTATATACTAAAGTTTATAGGTAGATATAGATTTATATTATATAGGAAATAGTAGAAAATAAGAAAATAAAATAGAGAGTTTTTATTAGTAGAGATAAAGAGATATAGTAATAGTCTTCGTCCTAAAGGGGGGTATTAGAGTTACGTAACGGCTATATAGGGCCGTAGGTAATCCTAACCCACAGAACTTAGGATATTGTTAGACAGTAGCTAGTTTTTCTTCTCTTCTTTTCTTTCTCTCTAGAGTCTACAATATTAATCCCTTAAGGTTAACATTCATTCCTACATAGCCTATATTCTATCTGACAATAGGCTTGTCAAAAGCTACAGAAGGCTAGGCATGCTATACTATCTAAACATGCTAGCGCGATATTGCGAGCCGGATCAACCAAGCTATGTTTGGGTAAGTATTGAGGAAGTAAAGCGATTTAACATCGCTTTGTATAAAGTTTGTAGGGTGTGCAGCGAGCAGGGGAGTGGGACCAACGACTATAATATAATGAGAGGATCAGGCAGGGGGCTTCGAGCATAGGATTTACAATTCCCGCTACTAAGGAACACTGCATTGTGGAATGCTATAGACAAAGCGGACTAGGAATCTGTAGGTTCAGAGGAGGTCTTCCACCATAGGCTGAATGACACTCTGGAACACGAATGGATATCAAACTCAGCACATGTCCTGGATATATGCTGAAGGCCTGTTACAACTTGACAATCTTATGCCTCGATATATTATGAGGTGAGCAATAACGGGCGGTTGATGAATCTTTTGCAGGGGGCGAGATTCGACGTATTCAGTATCTACGGGGATGTATCTCCTGATTTGAAAAATATAAATAACAAGGGGAACCATTATAGCAAACAGACCAACCAGCGCGATGTCTTGCATGTCGCGCGTACAGTCATTTGTCTGACATTAGATTTTGATGACTACCTTGCCCACGTGCTTGGCAGCATAGAGTACGGGCGACTAAGTGTGCCACCGATACATAACTCTCTCATTGGTTGATACCCCACCGCCTTTTCATCACCGCCTTCTTAAGCATATACCCTAATTTCTTTTTGAATATTTATTTCAACTTCTCTTTTATTCGTATACGTTACAATGGTACCCGGTTCTTGCCAAGTAACACCCCTACGGGTGTGGGTTGCTTAGCAAGAACCGGGTACGACCAACCATCGATCTTGAACCCTACAAAGATGAGATTATCTCTCTTTTAAAGCCGGCGTATCTTCTAGTTCTATATGCAAATCTATACGCGAGATACTTTGTCTTACTATTACTCCTATAATAATAAGGAGACGCCTCGAAATATAGGGATTAAAGCATCTAAAACCACCACCCACTACTACAAATAATACTCCATATAAACGAAGTCGGCCTTTCCGATAAGAATATAAGGACGTATAGTTTACCTTGGGGGAAGCTTCAAGCGGCGGTTAGAGTAAGCGTACTAGAGTGGTAGAGAGGAGAAAGGCTTCAATGCCTTAGTGAGATGGAACTATTACTAGAGTTATATTGTATGGCGTGAATAACGTCAACATTTGGTGCCAATTTTGTAAGGCACAAATATTATTAACCTTATAATCCAGGCCGCAATATTACTAATAACTACAAAATTACCTAGGTAGTGTTGTGAAGTGGGAGTGGATCTAAAATACTGCCAGCAATATAAACCAATGAGAGAGTTATGTATCGGTGGCACACTTAGTCGCCCGTAATAGAGGTTATCAAATGCAGCCCTTGAATATTCAAAAGAAAAAAAAAATGGTATCATCCAACAAAGGCTCCAGACGAACTGCCTTTTCTTCTAGAAAGTGGCACAATTTCTATAGATCAGACTTTGAGCCCGGGTACATTCCCCTAAATGTGATCGATTTTTAGCAATCCGGAAAAGTAGCTATGGTCAGGAGTTGGGCAGGTAATAATGCGCTCTTTTGTAACACAGGTTTAAGTATATCAGGTTGCTCATACCACCTTGAACCCTCCTAGAAACCCAACAAACGATACAAGACCTCTCGGAGCCAGGGAAGAAAGAGTCTATTTGATCGGTAGGGCCAACATTGTCAACCACAATATCAACACCTCGCCCACTGGCAATTCGTCGTACTTGTTCCTCCCAGTTAGGGTGAGCTCTGTAATTAAGGATTTCCACCGCCCCTGGGGCTCCAAGAGCCTGTGCTATTTCCAACTTTTTGTCCGACGAGGATGTTATTATGGGATGGATGCCAGCTGCCAAGAAAATGAGTAGCGCAAACATGCTGACTCCTCCGGTCCCTTAAATTCTTTGAATTAGCCTTTTTGAATTACTGCAGAGCATGACAATAGATTTACCTTGAAGCAGGGCAGTACCACTAGACCGTGGCATGTCTAGTGCTAACCATGCAGTGGTTCCTGCGCAGGTAATACAGGCCGCCTGTGAGAGGGTGTCAGAAGTTTATCATGCATTGGGCAATGGAATGCAAACCCACCTCCTCCCAAGAAAGATGCTTGGGCAAGTGGACCAACACAATTTTGGTCAAAAACAGCATATTGTCGCAGGACACCATCAACGTCCCCACCTAATGCCTGGCTAGCGTCCTCGGATCCAGTGATACAATTTAGGTCAAATATAGGCGTAACTCGATCCCCTACGCTGAAATCCTTCACTTCAGACCCAACCGCGACAAATTCTGCAGCACAATCGGAGGCAGGAATACCTCGGTCGATAACTAGAACTAGGTACTTTCCATTCATCATTGCAACATCCCGGTAGTTAAGGGAGGCAGTATAGATGCGAAGCATTACTTGAGTGGGTTGAAGAGATGGTAGTAGCTTCTCATCTACTATCTCCACGGTCGAACAACCGGCAGTTCGCCGGAATACTTTGCAGGACTAAGGAATAGACATGGCGAGGCGGGGAGGGTGGTAGCCTACTCTGAAGATGGATTGTGTTTCGCTACGACGTGTACTGGACGAACGTCACAATTTATACCACCAGTTTGTTGATGTCAATGATTATCAAGCTGGGGGGGAGGGGTAGCAAGCCGAATATCAAGCTTCGAAATCACTCTCTCCGGTACGAAAGGTACTAAGCTAGCTGCTCCGAGGCTATTTTTGATAGTCTCCGATTTAAAAGCTTCAATTCGTGCGAGGGAAGAAGATTCGCCATTTCTCGTATAGTAGAAGGCCGGGGGGCTAATCCATAAGAATCCATAGAGAGGATCCATTTTTCAAGAGATTCCTCTTCAATTTCAGTCAATTTATTGGAATTGGCGTATGTAGTACTTCGTTCAGTGCGGCCATATTTATTTGCATTTTTGAAGTGCTGCTTTATCTTGATGACCCACAAGATAAATACGATCGCTGGGTAGGGGATGCTCTATAGTTTCCGGCCTCGCTCAAGCATGATTTCCAGCACAGATGAAAGAGTTTCCTCACACTCTCATCATCAGGCTACTAGAGGGATACTTCGCTAGCCTTTAGGAGAAGTCATCTCTTGCTCGAAGGCAATAAGGATTCAAACAATATTATTTTACACAACTATTCAAGTTCTATTACGGCGCCCCAACCAAATAAAGCCTACACTCTACCTTAAGCATCCACAATCTCAACAGCGGTATGCACATTTCCTTGTGTCGCCCTCGAATAAGGACAAACCTCCTTTGCCTTCATGACCACCTTCTCAACCTGATCTTTGGCCAATCCCCTGACCTTGACTTTCATATCTACCCGAATACCCATATCCATCTTGGTGGAATCACCCACCAAATGCACCGTCGTCTCCACAATACTATCCTCCGGCTTCGATGGCATCTTGATCTTCAACATGGCCGCCGACGCATTCATCGCCGACTGGAAGCACGCGCCGTAGCCCGCGGCGAACAGCTCTTCCGGGTTTGTCTTTCCGGGTGCGGGTTTCCCGCCGAAAGCTTTGGGCAAGGCCAGGTCGAGTACAAGATCGTCACCCTCGATGTGGCCCGATCGCGCGCCGGTGACTTTCGCGTTGGCTGAAAATAAGATGGGCGCTGTTTCGCTATTAAAGAAGCGCCGGGCCGGTGCTCGCATCGACTGCGAGGTCCGCAGGGCCGCATTGCGGAGGAGGGGGGGTGCTGCTCTAAGGACTAGCATGATCACAGTAGGTGTAAGATTGATGTTAAGGAAGATTTTGGTGCTGGGTTGGCAGAATTGGCAGAATTGGTAGAATTAGTAGCAATGAGAAAGTGCTCAGGACAATTGGAGGAATCTAAGGATGTTTAAATACCTGAGACGTCTATACCGGTGCATTAGTTACGTCAACTAACCAGCTCCGATGCTTACCAATCCCCAGTTTCAACCTTGGAACTCTACACTACATTACTTTTCCGTGATATACCGAGGAGCAGTAAGTCTAGACCTCAAGAAAGCGTAAGATACTATTAGGACAGCGATTTTACTATTGGGACAGTGATCTAACCCAATTAAGTAAGGGCTGTTTTGGCACCCATTTTTCAGCCTAAACTTGGAAGTGTTATGGTACCCGGTTCTTGCCAAGCAACCCAACCCCCCTGCGGGTGTTGGGTTACCACACACTAATACAAACTCTTGCCTAATACAAATTTTAAAGAACGCATCAAATGTTTTTGTATTTTTCCCACCACACAACGCCTAATAAAATCAGGTAAAAATATAAGAAAAAAGTTAAATAGTAGGTTCATCATCCATAGGCGGTATCTATAGTATAAAACGGGGTCCTAGTGTCGGTGTGTCCTCTACAATTGCTTGCTTCCGACCCTACTTTTTCAACCGCCTGTCTTCTTAGGCCTACTCCTTTGATTCACGCGCCCGGATCATTCGATTTATATCACCGGCGGTTAGGGGGCCCCCTAAATTGATCTGCCGTTTAGTAATCCGGGTGTCCCGGTAGACTTTATAGCGTAGAAGAGTAGTATTATCCTTAGCAAGCTAGGTAGCAAGCTCTGCCGAAATCCGCGTACTTCGATATAATAGCCTTACTCGGTATCGAATAGCTATATAAAGCTCGCTATCTAGCAATTCTATATCTACCTCTAATTTACGAGTACTCTCGTTTATACGAGAGATATCGCGGGGTAGTAAATTAGTAATAGAGCTAGGAAAATCTACCTCTAATCCGTTATCTTTACTAAAGATAACTAGATCATTACTATAATCTACTTCTTTTTTAAGCGGATTAAGCACTATTGTATAGTTAAATAGGGAAATACTATAATAAACAAATCCCGACTTAATTACTCTAGTTATAAGGGTATCACGGATAGAAACAATCTCCCGGAAAAAGTCCGTTTTACGGTCTACCGAACCACCCTATTAAACAATAGTATTATTGTTCGATTAGTAACAATATTTTAAAGTAAGAAAAGGCTTACTATCTAGCGGTTAGCATAGATAGGTTGTATAGGGTATAAAATAGTAGGGAATAATGCTATTTTCCGCTATAAAGGCAATAAATTCCGGGGTCCGGTAGGAACTATAGTTATCTATTAATAAAAGCCGTTTACTACCCCGAGTAGTCCGGTCTTTCGTAGCTAAATCAAAGGCCTTAAGCTATTAAATAGTAGTTTAATCGGTAGTATAGCTATTAGGCGTAGTTACTAGGGTATAATCCGTAGGAAGGTTAGTATCTTTATACCAATTCTCTATATAAAATTTACCCCGAACTAACCGGCCCCACTTTTATTTCCCAGGCAATAAAACGGACCCTCGCAAGCGAGGGTCTAGCACCTAAACACAAAACCACCCCCAAATGTAAAAACCTTCATAAATCTAAACCTTTCAATTTGATCATCAACCACACCACCACTATGTCTTCTATCAATCAAGAAATCGAGAAGCAGATTCAGCTAGCTATAGAGCACCTCTCCGAGCAATCTAAACCTAATATCTCGAAAACTACGCGAGAATTCGCGGTTCCTATATACCGGCTACGCCGGCGATAGTAAGGTAGAAAATCACTTTTTTAACGACAACCTAATAGTAGGAAGCTTACTCCTATATAGGAGGGGGCTTTATATAAATATATCGATTACTTTGATTCGGTCGGAGCGTCGATTAACCGCCGTTAAATTGCTACTACTACTAATTTAATTCTTTAATATAATCATACCGATCCGGATATAGATCCGCTATAAATCAGTGCCTATTAGCTACTACGTTTTCTTAAACGGTATCCTAAATATAGTATACGACGGCGGCGGGCCCTAGATATTAAACGGGTAAAGGCATTAGATAAATTATGTAAGAATATACTGTTTCAGGTGTAAGGCCTGTCAACCGGGTAAGATACGTTAGCTTAGGAGGAAGAACAAAGGTGTATTGGGCTGTGTGTGCCAAGACTAATTCTTGCTAGAATTCAGGGGTCCCGGGGGACCTAAGATTAAAAGGAAATATACGTGTTAAGGCTCGGTACCGATTAGGTAACGAACCCTATACGATTTATATACGTATTAAAAACTTCTATAAATATATATATCGCCTAAGTTCCTATTTTATCTTTAAAAGGATCTTTATCCTTTATAATTATTCCCCCTTCTCCTATAAGGATATCTATATCCGAAATAGATTATAGCTATAAAGTATCGGGGAGATATTAGTAGTACTCTATAATAAAGAAGTTATAATTAGAATAGTTCCGAATATTTATCTAATTTTATTATATCTTTATAGTATTAGGATTATATAGCTATAAATATATTTATAATAAAGAATCTTAATTTCTTAATTATCCTTAATATTTAGTATTAATTTTACTATACCCGCTATTTATAGAAATCGAATCTATTTAAAAAATATATAATATATAAGCTATTTTCGCTCGATAATTATTTATTTTATCTTTAGAATAAGCGCGGTTCTATTTTCTATTTAGTATTTCTTATATAAAACTAACTCTAAAAAATACTAATAATATAATTAATAGAAGTCGATATATAAACCTCTATTAAAGAGAATATAAGGAGATTATATTAAATTAATCGCGATTCTAGAGTAGGTAGCCTAATACTAATTACCTATAAATAAATATTATATATAAGATATAGTATATCTCTAGGAGATAGATAAGGGGGTTATTAATTTAACTAAAGACTTCGATACTACTTATAAAATATATAAGTCTAATTATAGATTTTTAAATAAAGACTAGAAGGATTCTATAAAGACCGAGGTAGGTTCTCGGAAATTATATATCCTAATAGTAATTCGCTAACGACTTATTTTAGTATTATAGCTATCTTACTAGTCGCTATATAATATATCTAAATCCTATCTTACGCCCTCTTATTTCTTCGATAAAAGAATAATAGAAATAGTTTTATACCGAAATAGGATAGTATCTCTAAATAAAAGATAATAGTTTTATTATTTAGACTTAGGGTAAGTATAATCTTTTAATAGTAATCTAAAATATATATATTAGATACTTCGATCCTATAATATTAGGTATTATTCTAAGAGACTTAGTAGAGGATCTAGTAGATTCTTTTCCTATTCTATTTTTTAAATTATAGGTAGGAAGGTTATATATTACTATTATTTTAGATTTTAGCTTTATCAGATGAAATATAGGCTATATAGGAATGAATATTAACCTCAAGGGATTAGATTTATAGACTCTAGAGAGAAAGAAAAGAAGAGAAGAAAAACTAGCTACTATCTAATAATATCCTAAGTTCTATAGGTTAGGATCACCTACGGCCCTATATAACCGTTACGTGACTCTAATACCCCCTTTAGGACGAAGACTATTACTATATCTCTTTATCTCTACTAATAAAAACTCTCTATTTTATTTTCTTATTTTCTACTATTTCCTATATAATATAAACCTATATCTACCCGTAAAATTTAGTATATAGATTAATTAAGACCTAATATCTAGATAAACTTTATATATACTTCTTTATTAAGCGCTTTTATAAACCTATCGGCGATATTACTCTTTATCTCGACGTATTATAAATTAATCTTCTTCTAGAAAATAGCGTCCTTAATAAAAAACTACTTTATATTAAGCTAACGTATACTATTCTTATATAATTTCTTACTTATTAATAACTAAGTATTAATATTATTTATTAAAATAATAATTAGATTACCTATTTTAAGAAGATTAAGTACTTTAGTAATCTTTAAAATCTACTAAATATTCTTAGTAGGTCGATCTAGAATATACTATTTTATAGCTATCGATAATAGAGTTATAATACTTTATTTCTTCGAGTACTAAATAATAAGTACGCTACCGAAAAACTAAATAATACCCTCTATTAATTTTAAATTATACTAATTACTATATAAAGTATTAGTATATATAAAAAATAAGATATTATCTACCCCCTTAGCGTTATATTAAGATATATTATATTACTAAGGTACTTATAGATAATATAGACTACTTATAAATTATTAGTAATTAAAAAAATAGAACGATATTATAACTTTATAATACTAAATTTAATATTAGATTTAGTTTTAATTACTAGTTAGTTAAGCTTATCGACTAAAGATTAAAATAAAGTATATCCCTCCTAATCTAAAAGAGTATTAGGATTCTTATTATTATTATCTTATTTATAATTTAGAGAAAGTAGAATTAAAATTAGAGAATATATTTATATCTCTATTAAGTAAAATACTTTTAGATAGTATATTTACTATATTATCCGAATTATTCTTTTATTATAATCCTAAATAATAATACTACTAAAAAAATAGAATAGTTCTTCTATATCTTTAATCTTAAACTAATCTTTTACCTACTAAAAAATTATCTCGATCTCTCTATTAGTCGGAGCTATATTAATAAAATTATTAATATAAATAAGAAGAAACTATATTAAACTATTATATATCTTAATATAAATATATAAATTATTATTAAAAGTATAAAATCTAATCTTAACTAGTCTTCTATTAAGTTCCTTATTCTATAAAGCTACTAAATTATAAAAGCTAAATAATATCTACTATAATTAATAAACCTAATCTTTACTTTTAATATTAGATTCGGAGTATTTAAAATCTACTAATTAAATAATATAAACTATCTCTTAATTTTTATAAAAAGTATTAAGATATATAACTACTATATTAAATTAACGCTATTTATAACC